CAGGAACATCGCATTTCATATCAGAGAAATTAATTAGTTGAATAACTGTAATATTTCAAACATACATGCTCATTATTACAAAATTTGAAGCTAAAATAACATATGACATGTTTTACCAATGTAAAAACATGCAAAACAAGAATCTAGCGACATAAAACTTGCCTGTGGGCTAAAGTTCTAATTCAATTAGATTCATCTTAACTTCACAATAAAACTATCAAATTATGTTCTCTTTTCTAATACCTGTGAGCAAATTAGAAAATATAGTTTGATATTTTATCCTAATTAATCACATATAATACGATAAAAATTCCTGTGGGATAAGATTTACCATATCAATTATGATTAATCACAATTAATGTTTGTTCTCCAAACGTGATCCTAAATGAACCTTAATATTTAATTTCAATTAATTAAAGATGTTATGGCTATTCCTTAATTAATTAAAACTATATGGATCACCAAACATTAACTAAATTCTTAGGCTCAACCTATTGCTAAACCATATGCAATGCTAATATAAAATTGGACATTAAAGTACTAATATTATTCAACCTAATATGCATGTATAATAAATTATTCACACAAATAACGAAAATAAATAATATAAGCACATCAATATCCAAATTAAATTCATAAAGAGTCTTCATTAGAATTAATTTTAACGTGTATAAATTATTTAACTTAATAATGTATGCATAATAAACCATAAAATTTATACATACAAACAACAACAGGTTCAAGATTAAATTAACAATAATATTAAATAATACTAAACTTTCCTTTTTCATGCAAGTTGCCTACTATTTCATGCAAATTGATACTATTTTCATGCAAGTTTGCCAGCTGTTATGCATGTGTAGGTCATATCATATTGAATGCAAACATATATATCATGCAAGTGGCAGCCATATGGTCCTTTGATAACATAAATTAATATTTTAAAACCAAAAGAATCTGCAAATCTCCTGCAAAATTCTGAAATGCCAGGTTTTTTTTTTTAAATGAACAGATTGTCTTCTACAAGCGTCGGGTCACTTAGACCCGTTTCCGACCCGAATGAAAAACCCGGTCATATATCATGATTCCGACCACCAAATTTTGCAAATTTTATATCAAAAATCTCAGAAATCAATTTCCTAATGATTCCTAACTTTATTTCCATCAAAAACACATGAAACATGGATGTGAAATTTCTAGAAAAATTACAATAAACTTCTAAAAAATTTTGCAGAGAACAAAACGACAAGGCAGAGGCAAATAGTGCTCTGATACCAACTATTAGAGCTTTATCACGATCTATCATGTGAATAAACAACAACATATAGATCAAATGCGGAAACTAAAGATCATAAACTAACCTCCAATCATTGTCGTTTGAACTGCAGAATTTCGAATTGTGTTTGGTGCTTCCAAGCCTTCAAGACCTCTCTGCGATGGTGTAGTTTAATGAAAGTCTCGGCTAGGGGACCAATACCACTTTATTCCCTTTATATACTTCTTCCCATCAAAGAAGTTACGAAACGTGAACGGTTACCACAAAATAGGGAAGATGGACAGTTATGAAAAGGTGAGAAGGTGAATAACTTCCAATAAAAGAGGAAGATGATTGGACCATTTAAAAATACCAAAGGTTTACAGCCCACCTATCCGACACGCTTTCTATATAAAGTACCTGAAGCATTGGTAGCACATTAGCAAAATAGCTCAACCCATAAATGTGAGAGAAGATTTACTTGAATACACAACATTATTGGCGTAAAGAAGCTGAAAATTTATCCTTCAGGCGATTGATAAGCTTAAATTTCTCCTCAGCTTCCACCTGTTGACGAATGTCGGACTGCAAGGCTCGATCAAGGTAAAAGGTCAGTAAGGCCCGTTTGTAAGCTGTTTGCACCTGCAATGTCAGCAACTGTCACTAATCACTTCAAAAGAATTATGATAGTCTTACTTCACATAGACAGAATATCAACAATATAATAAACATGTAAAGACAAGAAACCCACTAGTAGAAACATCACTGTTAAACAAACTGCTTAAAGTCATGTAATTGCATGTACAAAAATCATTTATTTGGTTATGAATCTGAAATTAAATGAGTCGGCAAACCCAAGTAATGATGCATAAAACTTGCTTCACAGTGTTGAATAAAATATCCGCACACAAATCTGCAACCCTGTTGCGTGCCCAATATTCATGATAGAACACATATAGGCTTCTTATGATTGTGAGATTTCATCAGCAACGATAAAAAGACTCAAACTGTTTGTACACAGGTGCAAGTAAAATCTTGTGGAGTGTGGACTTCCCATAAAATCCAGACATGCTTTTTGCTTATAGTAAAGATGAAGAAATTGGTGGACTGCATTAGACTAGACCTCATTAACAACCTTTAGCCATCAATCTCTTTGAAAGTAAAAGCCACAGAAATCTATCAAGAACAGTAGTTCTTTGTGCCCAATCCCAAAAAGATTCTACTCAGGGTAGAAGAATGACGCCAAAAAATTGTCACACCAAAATAAATGAGTCCCACAATGAACTGTCAATTACAGGGCCCCCTTTTGACAAGCATTATTTTCAAACTCTTTTTTCAACATATTTATTTTTAACCACACATTCATAAAATAAAATATTTTGCTCGTAAACCAATAAAATATTCATACAATAGAACTGCCGAAAAGATTCGGTTTCAGAGCATTGAGTAATTTTCCCGCTCTCTATTTAAGCAGCATATTAATGAAGATAAAATATACACGTCAAGCCATTAATCTTCAGGCTGATCGTTGCAGGAAAATTTTAGGTTTGAAGACGAAATGGAATCAGATAAGATTGAGCAATTACTTCAGAACTCGATACTGGCAATAGTGAGGAAAAGAGAAGAAAATGTAATGACAGGGGAAGCAGCCAATTTCTTGAGTGACTTTGTTAGATCACTCCTAAAGGTTAACCATGATTCTGTTAAGAAAAACAGAATATCGGTAGACGATGTAATTGATGACCGTATGGTGTTTAATGTTTAACATTGCTGGACATGAAACAACTCCAAGGTTATTGTCTTGGACTTTTCTTCTCTTAGCAATCAACACAGCTTGGCAAGAAAAAGCAAGAAAAGAAATGATTGAACTATCTGGAAATGAAAATCCAACAGAGGAAGGCCTTGTCAGATTGAAGAATTCAAGTATAACATTAATTTGAACTGAAATTTGCATCCACTATTATATATATGTGTGTATCAGTGTATGCATGCATAAATACGACATTAAAAAAGTGACCAAATCTTAAGTTATTAAGGCTACGTTTGGCACACCGGATCAGGCCTTATAAGGATTTTAGTATAGAATTATAGTCGATAGTAATTAATAGTTAGACCATAGATCATAATTTGGTGGAATAGGGCCTGTCTTTTCCGGTTTTTGCATCCTTTTGTTCTCTATTGGGCCCCGGGTTCAGTGCGCTCCACTCTCCACACTTCACTTTGCTCTGCTCGGACATCGACCTATTTATTCAAGTAAATGTGCGTTATGAGCCACCTATTACAACAGTTATGGACCGCAGACATGCGTCGGCCTAGAAATGAAGTAAAAATAGGACTCTTAAAGATCATTAAGTGCTATCTGTGATTGAATAGATAGTTCTACAAACGAATGGATCATATCGACTTGGAAAATGGAAAAATTTGTACGAGCTATACATTTCATCACCACTTTGTGAAAAATGGTTAGCTATGAATATATTAGATACATGTGACTCGATTGGTGAAACGGTATCTATCCCCCCAAAAACATTTTTTTTTACCAATGCAAATAGAAAATATTTTGTTGCGAGTGAACAAGATATTGAGGAATTGTCCATACGTAAATTCATAATTATATATATGGACCTTTTCCACTTAAAATGGGAATCTTGTGTTACAAAAGATGCAGAAGTGGTGTGGATTATTCAAGAATCGAAGTTAATTTATTTTATAAAAAGAAGATATCAATAAACTTTTATGAAATGGTTCCATGAAATTAAGCCAATTGTCTTGAACTGACATCTTCACCAAATTACGTTCACTCCCACCTATGGTTCTCACAGTCAATCCGCAACATGGGGTGCAGATCATGTTAGAACAGGTTGGTAGGTAATAGTAGTAGTACTATGATTTCAAAAATCATATATTTTTCCCAAGGCAAATAGTTATTTGGATGGATTACCGGTAAATTTTTTGTGCAGTGACAAGCCCCCAGTTGTGAAAAGCTACTAGTGAATGTAGTTGTAACCTTATCATTCTTTTTGTTGGAAACTTACTACTAATTAAAAGTTATTTGTAACTCTATAAAGAGGTGGTTTTTTCATTGTTGTTCTCAAGAAAATAGTGATACAGACTATATTATTCTTCCGTATTTTGTCTCAAGTATCCTCCGTTGGTAGTTTTCAAAAATCTTCACAAATATGTTTGGACAATGAAGAAACAAACCACCACTACCGAACAAAATGAACCAACTTGAATCGCGAATAAACGTTGTTCTAAAACGTTATTTGATCCCTCTCGTTGAATTTAAAAATACTTTAGGGACTGCAAATAAATAGTTTTAGTTTATTCTTCAAGTCTTAATCCGGATTGCTAAAACACAAATGAAATCTTGAAAAGGGAACATGAATAAAACTTCAGAAATTCTGAATTTGGGTTCTGAAATTGATAATACTTTGATTCAAGGAATTTGGGATGTTAATAATAGAATACAAGCTACTGGAAGCAACTGGAAGCTTGAAGAAACTGCTAGAATCAGCTAGGGAGCAGCAAACGGATTCAGCTATTAGTTAGTTGTAAATATACACATGTCA